TTTTATATGAGCCAATCAAATTTCATCAAATCATGGACAAAATTGTCCATTTTATATGAACCAATCAAATTCCATGGCAGATTTCGCCCATGGGCAGTTTCTTAGCTGAGATTTTCTGCACAAATTTTCAGCTTATAAACTTTATCATTTAAATCCAACCAATCAAATTTCATGGGCATTTATCCCATGGGCAGTTTCTTAGCTGAAATTTTGTGCAGAAACTTTCAGCTTATAAATTACATAGTTTGACCACCGGCCCGAATTAAATGTAATTCTGGCCAAATCGTTCTATTTATTGCAAAAACTGTTTACCTGCATACCATTAAGCACTTTATCACGTGAAGTTACTTTAAATCTAAAAAAGGAAAATTTTTTTGGTTCTTGCAAAAATAACATGATTTAGGTTTCACAATATTTCAAAAAGGAAATTTTTATGCTGTGCAGCCAGCATTATGGAATATAATTTTGTAATTTCTTCACCAAAATTTGTCCAGTCACATGATTATTATCAGCCAATCAAATTTCATAATTCCAATCTGATGATTATTATCAGCCAATCAAATCCATTATAATTCTTATCAAAAAATTATTTACAAGCAGTTTCTTATCAGCCAAATTTGTAAATCAGCCTGAGTTTTAATTGTTTAATTGCACAGTATTCTCTAAATTAAAATTTTTAGTTTCAGACCCTTTATATATTATCACGTAATATTCATTATCAAATACAATAGTAGACCCTAAAATTTCATTACGTATTTTATGTTACACAGAATTTATTTTAAATAGTGTTTACGTGGTTACATTAAAATATAAATTTACCTTCAAAATTTTTATCTGTCATCATGGAACAAGAAGGTGTTTAATATTTTAGTAGCAGTAATACAAATTTAGATATGTATATATATATATATATATTTATGAAACAATAAATAATTTTGTATAATCTTTTTTTTATATTTTATATGAACTTATAGGATTAACGAAAGAAAAATTAGATAAAATTGCGATGTTGCAAATGAAATATGATATTGAAGTAATGCACTTAGCAGAAGAATGCAATATGGAACCTGAATTTGTTAAAGTATTATGATTTTATTGAAGATTATATGACAATTATTATATTTGAATTAATAATAATTTTTTATATAGAATATCCTGAAAGACTTTCGTGAACCAGCTTTCAAAAAACTTAGAAAATGTAGTGCGTGGAATGCTTGGCAGGTAGAATGGTGGCAAGAGAACCAGGAATGTAGGTTAATTTTTAATTTTAAGGATTTTGCAATCAATAAATTTAATTTATACCTTTTATTTTTTAGTAAGTGTTATGTCACCAAATGCTCAACAAAAGTGTGCAATGGAGTGGAATGACCTTGATGCAGAAAAAAAAGAGCAGTATACTCAAGCTGCTGATAAGATGAATGAATGTCGTAGTTTAAATAAAACAGGCCTTATCAAAGATCTCAATAAAAGAAAAATCGAAATCAATAAGCAAATTAAGGAACTTCGAAAAATTGTTAGTTATATTTATATTCTGGGCATATTTTTATTTTATCTTTTTTTTTTTAATTATTTTAACATTCTGGATATTTTATTATAGTATAAAACACTGTATAGCTCATGTGGTGTTGATATTTTAAGCATTGCAGTTTCGTATGTTGATGGTATTAATCCAAATTGGTTTGGAACTAAAGTCGGTGAGGACTTTTACGCTCAGTGTGATACGCTTGATCAGATTTTAACTGTTTTTCAAAGTTATTCCACTTTAAAAAAAGCAGGTGCGTCTTTTAATAATAAATAAATGTTTTAATATATATTCAATATTTTTCTTACTATTTTATTTGATAGAAAGAGACAAGGTTATTAATAATATTGAAATGTCTCATGATGTTAATGCTATTCAGATTAAGGATGTAAGTGTTAATAGTAAAAAAACTAGAGATAATGTTAGACAGATTTTACGTGAAAAATTTCGTAAGTAAATATTATATATATATATATGATTTTAAAAAAGATTTCAAGTAATTAAGATTTTTTTTTTAAAAAAAACATACATATATATTTGACAGGTATGGCAACTGGTAAAGAATTGATACCTTATAAAAATTGGCAGCTTCAAACTAAATATCAGTTACACGGTTGGCCACATAAGGTTGAATTTGTGGATTATGCTAACCTTACTGAAAATGATAAAGTTAAAGTATTGAATGCATTGAATGATATCCACTTTACTGAAAATTAATGTACATGTAGAGATACGTGTAATGAAATTAATAAGAGAGTTTAGTAAACTTTGTGCTATTGTTTTGACTGTCATATTTTAAAATTTAAAAAAAAGTTTACATAATAGCATTTTGGAACTCTTTCATTTTTTATTTCAAAAGATAAATGAATTTAGCAAACTAAAAAATTTTATAAACTGTAATTCACCATCAACCTATTACATTCATTATTCCTGTACTTGTGCTTTATGTCATTAAACTCTTTCTCTAATAGCAACATATAGGGAAACCCATGTTATTTATTTTATTGATTAATTGATTCATACACAATTTATCTGATCGCAAATTATATTCATTTTATTATAATATTATTGATATTTATTAAGATTATTAAAAGAAATTATGTGGCAAAAAAAATTAATTATTTGACTACTATTACAATTATTCGATAATTGGTCATAAATCATATGGCGCATTAACTAAATATAATGCACACTATAATCATATGATATAATCATGGGTATATATGTAATTTTGTGTAATAAAATAAAATAAATAAAGTGATCGGCAAATTGGAACATACTGTTTCGTCTACAAGTTGGGAATTAGTTGAGAATTTATTTTTAAACCAATAAAGTAAGTACATTTTTTTTAAGTAAATCAAGCTTTAAAAGAAATTTGAAGTCTTTTAAATTTATTTAAGAGTTTAATTTTATAATATTTTAATATTTTTTGCGTTTTATTTTTTTTATTTTGATTTTATAAAATATATAACTATTTTTATTTAATTTACTTTCTTATTTAATAGATATGATTCACTGGATTTTTGTTTAGTTTAACGAAGCTTTAATGAAAATTTTAACCCAATATCAAGAGTTTTTTCATTTCGTTACAAAATTTGTGTAACATAAATTAATAAACGTAATGTATCAAACATAATTTGTCAAAATTACATTATTCAATCATCATTATAAATTATAAATTATAATAATTAGGTGATCATAATTATTTAGTAATAATTCTTAATATAACAATTTATTTAATAATTTGATTATTGCATATTAATATCTTTATCCTCATCTTCGTAAATTTCTTCACCTTCACTTTCACTTTCGTAACCTTCGCCTTCATAATCTTCACCTTCAATCTGAATTTCTAAATTTTCTAATTCTAGATTTTCTCTTGAAAGTCTATCTTCTTCTTTTTCATTCATTGATATATATATTGATGGATTTAAATTTTTGCTTTCACCCCTTACGCTAGTTTCATTAATTTTCAAAAAAGCATCCTGACATTGTTTTATATTTTTTTTTATTTTTTCATAGTAGCCTTTTAAAATATAAACTATACCTTTCTAAATAAATAAATATATATAATTATATAAGATACTGTATTATAATTAAAAAATTTTGTGCACTGTAAATAATAAATACTTTCCTCAAATAGATTATTAGTTATTTCAAGTTGTTGCAGTATCTTTACAATTTCCAATTTTTGATTAATCCAAAAAGTGTATAGTCTATTTAATTCAATTGGAATTAAATTGATCTCTTCTTCAGCTCGTTTAAAATTATTAAAATGTTGAATTGAATGATTGATAACAATTCGTGGTATATTAGTATCGTTATCGACTGCTAAGTCTAATGATTTCCAAAAATTAGATCCATGATTAACTATATCATTAAAAGTTGCTTTAGGAAAGTTATCAGCTAGTTTAGACGACCAATTTGATCTTAAATGTTGGTAATGCAAGATTTGTACTTCGATTTGCTTGGAAATTTTACTAACTTCAATCTTTATTTTTGATGCCAATTTATGTCCTATTTTTTTTTCAAAAAAAAAAATAAAATGGAAATTATAAAATTGTTAAAATAAATCTTATCATACTAAATGCTTACCTTTATGATCCGTATTATACAATTGTGAGGTGTTAAAAATATATTCATTACGTAGTTTTCTTAATTTATCTGATATTAAATCTAAATTACGCCTACAATAATCATCAAGGTAATTGCTATACTTTGGATCAAATGGGTTCCATCGATCAAATTCAAGAATATCCAAATTTTCTTCGCATTCTTTGATTTTTTTAAGACACATGTCTTTTGATTTTATTAATGATGCTTTTGATCTTTCTAATTTGGATTCTTCTATTTGAATACTATTATATGAGATTGAAAAATTATAAATGAGTATATAATTTAAAATATTATTGAATAATACAATATTTAATATGTACTTATACTTGTGATAATCCATTAAATATGAAAAATATTGTTCTTTTCCCATTAATTGCTCTTTAAAAACTAAAAAAAAAATTTAATTAATAAATATATTTAATATTATTATTAAAAATAAATACTTCATTCATACCAATATTTTTTTTCTGATTTTCAATTGCAATAAGAATTTTGCTTTCGTCTATACCATGTTGTTTATTCAATTCTTCTAAAGATATTTTAGAATCCAAACTTAGTTTTTTTGCACGGTGAAAACGTTTCGCTAAAGAATATGCTAATAAGATTACAATGAAAAATACATAATTATTTGTTATAATCAATCAAATAGATGTTAAGATAATAATGAAACTGAAAAGAAAATCCAAAAGTTGCAAGATGCCCAAGATATTAATAAAGAGAAATAGTTATATAAATAAATCACTTGCCTAAGTTATTTATCATTCTTTGACTAATATTTTGAATTGCTAATTCTAAAATATCTAGTCTATGTGATGGTCTCATATATTTGGTTGTTAAAGCAAAGCGGCCAAGATAGGACCATAATCGTTCAAGACTTTCACCATCAGTTAATCCAATTGACGAACAAATTCTTGGATGATATTTAAGCTGACATTTCATTGAATGGGCGAATGCATGAAATATAGATATACACCAATCAAAGCGAGATTTAAACTGAAAAAGGGCACTCTCACTTTTATTTATATGTGCATGAAAAGAACATGCAATATCATATAAAACAACAAATGATTGAGAACTTTCGTTAAAAGTATCTTGTAATTGATAAAGAAGGCATTCTGCTAGCGAAAACCTATAATGATAAAGCCATATACATAATTAATTAAGCTTAATTGAATGAATAAAGTAATAAATAATTTTACGTTTTTACCTTTCTCCAATTCCTTTTAGATTAATAAACTTTAATGGTATTCCATGCCTACATGTGCTACCAAATAATCCTGTATCATCTAAATGTTTTGATTTTATATTAGAACGGGCTTGATCAGCTGCTTTAAAATAACTGTCACACGCAGTTTCCTTGAAATAAAAAAATTGTTATAAAATTATAAAAATACAAATATAAAACAATATAACTACAGTTTTTTACATACTTGATTCTTAGTAGATTTATTTCGAGATGAATCATGTGTAATCATCCATTCATCAAATTGTTTTTGCTTTATAATAAATTGATCTTTAACTAATTGATCATTGATATCATTTCCAGCACATTTTAATCTTCTTAGTTGGAAGTTTCCATCCAGTGCAACTATTATTTTTGCATTTTTTTCATTTGGCTATGATTATTAAAAGAAAATAACATTTAGAAATACAATATAAGACAACCAATCTACAGTAAATTATCTAGAATAAATACCTGCGGACATGCTGGGCAATTAAAATCATAATTTTTTTTGAGCATACTTGTAACAGTATTTTTGATTTGATTTTTAATTGCTAAATAGTAATGAGCAGTAGACGTGAATAGATAGTAAATATTCTATAATATATAATATCAAATAGTATCAAAATTGAAGAAAATTTAGAAAGTTGTAAAATTAAATAATTAAATGGTAATTATTCAGAATCATGTAATAATAAAATTAAAACTAAAAATAATTAATTATATTGAACTTACTTTATTAATATTTTGAGAGGAATGAAGTGCATCTAAAACTCGACAAAAAGAATGATAGGGAACGTGTGCTTGTAGTAATAATTCTGCGTAAAGATCAAGAAGTTCAAATGTAAATGCAACATTTGGATTAACAGGTGTAGAAGGAAATAGTTTATGCTTAATTAGCGTTTCAACAATTCCTTTACAACCTGGAATGTTCACTGAAAATTGTCCTATTTAAATTATTTTTATTTCATTAATAGAAATATAAATAATATCAATAACATTAACTCATTAACTTATTTACCTTTTAAATGAACTACTAATATTTTGAAAGCTTGATGTTCACAGTTTTCAGAACAGATTTGAGGCAATTTTAACGTCCTATTGTGATTACTATTGCTATCTTGATCTAATAAAATTCTCTGATGAAAAATATTAATGTTATTATGGAATAAGTCTTCACAGACTGAGCAAAAATATACATCAGATCCACAATCCATGCAACGGAATGTGGCAGGTTTCTTGCATTTAATACAATTGCGGTCCTTATCCAGGGCATTATTCTCAATCATTACATTAAATAGTCTAGGTAAAATCTCTTTCCAATTATCAATAAGCTTTTTCTGTGCATTGCGATATAAACCTTTTGCTGCATTAAAATTTTGGCCATTTACACAGTGTGTGTGTAATTTATTTTCGTCGATGTCTTCCCATTCAACTTTTTCATCTTTCACAGTTACATTTTTATTTATTCTAAACCTTTTATATCCTTTTTGATACTTTTGAATTATGATTTTTTTAGCATTTCTTTTATTTATCGACGCTCGATTTGGTTTGTAATATTTAGGACCTACAAAATATTATATTTGTTACCTAAAATTCTTTGGTCTATAGAGAATTAAATTATTATAAGCATACCTATTTTTCTTTTTTTTTTATTTATATTAGAGCTTAAAAGCTGTTAATAGTTTACAATATAAAAGTTAATAAATGCCTGAAACTATAATTTACTATATTAGTAATACTTAAATATACAGACGTTAAGACTGTCCATAATTAATGGAGTTTAAAAATAAAAAAAATAATTTATTGAAATATTAAAAAATTCAAATTATATCTGTATATGATCAACGTCAATAATCATGAATTTTATATCATTTGCAAATCACACTAATATAAGTATTACTTTTTGCTACAAATTCGTTATCAAAATGTCAAACCATCTCTTAATTAAAAATTCGCGAATTTGAGTTTTGCCTGGTTAAAAGCTAATAAAAAGTTAAATCATGTAATTTACTTTTTCATTTCTAAACAATTTTGTCCACTTATTTTCATTTTATTTTTTTCCTTGAATTTTCGTTCCTAGACAATTTTGTTCACTTTTTCTCTTATATCAAGCTAAAATAATTTCGTCTGAATAATTTTCTCTATTTTTATACTTTAGTTTAGAATAATTTCATTTTTAGACAAAGTTCTTTATTTTTTAAGGTAAATTGACTGAATTTAAACGTTACAAATCACTATATAAATTATATAAAAAATATGTGAATGGATTTTAAAATTTATATCTTAATTTTATTTATCTATTTATTTATTTTTTTAATAAAGCATCAAAATTGAGAGCACAAGCAAGTAGAAATATCAAAATAATAGTATCAATACAATCATGGTACAATCAGCTCTGAATTTTGACAACAAATTTTTTAATATAACGGATCTTACCAATTTTAATATATAAAAAAAAATCTCGTTATACCAAACTGAATATTACTAATTAAATAAATGCCTTATGCCATTTAACAAAGTAACTTCTACAAATAACAAATATAAAATGACTCTTCCCATAATGAATTTTCTTTTATACAAATTTTTTTATTATAACAAATTTTTACTATAACAAATTTTTTTACTATAACAAAGATATTCTGTGCGACGCGAAACCTTTCATAATATAATAAATATTAACATTATACCATATTTTCCCAAATTTCCCATATTATACTATATATTTTTCTTATAACGAAGGATAATTTGCCCTGATACAAATTCATTATAACTGTATATATTGTACAGATCAAATTGCACTTTCAGTTTCCTGATCTCTATTTGTCATCCTGTGACACAAAAAACTGACGATCAAATTTGGTATGCTGATTTGTTGCGTCACTAGCTATAAACTATTTATTTATTCTCCGTGTTTTGTTTTTTACGTTTGCATGTTTGCCCTAATTTTTCAATTAACCATTCTTAATAAAAAATAATGTCAAAGGAAGCTCTTACACCTTCTTCAATTTTTAATTCTAGGATACGTGGAAAAATAATAGAGCTTGACGAACATGATCAAAGTTTAATTTCAGAGGCTTTATCCATCATTTGGACTAAAACGCATAAAAAAGTTGAATCATGTTTATTTGAAAGAAACAAAGCTACAGTATTTTGTAATAAAAATGGTCGTATATATTTTGACCTAGTTGAGCGCGAGGAACTAAGTTCATTAGAATATAAGGTAGAATTTGATGGAAAATTTTATCTACTTTTTAATTTCGTACATAAATGACTTTATTCGCTTTTTCTTTTTAATTTCAAATTTTGTCCATTTCTTTTAATTTTGTTGGTGAAGAATTTTATTTGCTTTTTTTTTAACTTTTTCTGGACAATTTTGTCAATTTTTTTTTAATTTCATTTATGGACAATTTTGTCCATTTTTTTTTTAAATTTTGTTTATGGACATAATCTTATTTGTAAACAGTTTTGTCCACTTTTTTTTTAATTTCGTTCATGGACAGTTTTTTCTATTTTTTCTTTAATTTCGTTCATGGATAATTCTGTCTTTTTTTTAAATTTTGTTCGTGAATAATTTTAATTTTATCATTTTTTTCTTTTAATTTTAATTAATCTTATTCTATCTAATTTAACACCTTCAGAAACTTCAACAGAAAGAAAATGAATTACAAGAAATCAAAGTATATATTAGTATTTTCTGTATGTCTTTTCGTAAGGGTTATTTATTATTCACCATTTTATGTAATTATTATATAGAAAAAATTGAGTAGCGAGCTTGAAATTTATAGGCGTAGATGTGAGGAAATTTCAAATCAAAATATTCATTTACAGGTAAAAATATTATATTAAATTTTTTTTTAAGTATTTTTGCTATGCGTTATAATTTATAATAATTTTATTTTTATTTTTTATGAAAGAATGAATTACATCAACTCCAAACTTCAAATATTTCATGTACTCCTGGTACTGTCGACACCATAGTCTCTGATGAATTGAATTTTGAACAACTGCCTCCCAAATCAACTTTTGGCTCAGTATTCTGTCAAGATTCTGATAATTTGGATTTTGCACGTATTGTAAACTGTGATATGGCTATTAACGGTTTGACAACTATCAATACGCCTGATGAAATTTGGGTAAATTTAAATAGACGTTGCATTAAAAAATTTGGTAATAATAACTGTATAAAAAGCAATGCTACCATTTCTGACATAACTTGGGCGTGTACGACCTTACCTGCCTATTTAAGTTGGAGTTGGATAGTAAATTATCATAATGATATCAAGAGGTGGATCGCAAGAATCGACGATTTCAATTCAAAAAATTCTGAAGGATTTGAAGCATCTCAAATACCATCATCTTCAGTAAAAATAGTATCACAACCACGATCTCATATAAAAGAAATACCATCACAGCCACCGGCCTTTTCAGAAGAAGAATCATCTTCTTTAGAAGAAATAGAATTACATCCATCATCTCCTTCAAAAGAAACAGAATTACCACCATCTCCACCATCTCCTTTGGTAGAAATAACACTAGCTTCTGTATCAGCTATTCCAGAAACATTATCTGCTTCAGGAAACATGAAATCACAAGCGTTATCTACCTCAAATAAAACAATACTACAACCAATAGCTGCTTTAGAAAAACAACCAACATCACAATCAGTTGCTTCCTTAAAAAAAGCATCACGACCAATAACTGCTTCAACATCACAATTATCAGATTTTCAAGTATTAGCTATACCAGAAGTCTCAAAAAATACAACATCACAATCATCTGCTTCAACATCACAATTACACTCCCAAGTAGCTATACCAGAAGCAGTAGCACAAAAAAAATGCGATTATATTTATATTTCATCGGATGAAGATGAGGAGGATTATAATTATGTGAATGATACTGAAAGTATGAAAGTTGCAAAACAACAAACATTAAATTCCACCCAATTATTATTATTCAAAAAAGGGAAAAAATTACGTGAAATTTTATTGAATTCACAAACTGATAATGAGACTCTTATCAATCTTGAGCATTCAAAATTTGAACTAACGAATGTTATAGCTGAATTATCAGCTACACCTATAAAAGTAACTGATGTGAAAACTGCAGAAGAGAGAATTCTTCAATGGAAAAACCAAGAATTGCAGTGTGAAAAATTTAGAATAACTGCAGAATCATATAACTTATTACATTTAATGTCATTAGTTCGAGTTTATGAAGACCTTATAAGAATTGGTGAAGAACTGAAAAAAAATCCCGAAAATGGTGTTAAAAATGTAAGAACCTGGGTAATAGGTTTTATGCGCGATAAGCTGAAAACAAACAGTAAAGCAGAACAAAGAATTAGGCTAGGATGTAATCGATTGCGCAAGTTATTTAATGAAGGTATTACATGTGCACAACTTGTGCAGTCTGGGTTACGTAAATGTGATTTTTTTACCAAAAATGAAAATTACGAAATTTTTTTATCCCAAATACCCTCATTGGAAACACGCCATTCAATTTCATCAAATTTATCAAATGAGCGTCTTTCAGATTTACTAGATATTTCTCAATCAGAACGGCTTCAACTATATGATGAAGTTTTTGATAACGTGCCAGTAGTACCTCAAAAAAAGGTTATCTTCAAATTAGATTTGAGTAAAGGCTTTGAAAATGTAACTGATGAATTTCGAAATAGTGAATATATCATTACTTAGATATTTTTTTATTTGGTCAATTTTTTAGTAGATAGAATTTTATCGATTTTTTTTTTGGTAACAATGCAAAATGTTAAATAAAAATAATTTTACTTGCAAAGGGACAATTTTGTCCACTTACATCATCTATTTTTTATTCCATTTATATCATTTTAATAAAACTTATTACTAAAGCCTAAATAGCCAGAATTTGCTACAAATAAAATGAAAGGACGATTTTAATGCTTACTGGAAAGTGAAATTCACTGGGAAAGGGGGTGAACTTCACCAGTAAAATTTATCATATTATATAACTATGATTTTTTTTTCATTTGAATAAAAAAAATTTAATAACTATTCATAAACATAATAAATATAATTTTTTTTTTTTTTTTACATAATCACTCACTATATTTTATTATACAACAAACAAATATGATATATACAATAAGTTACATATTATTTTAAAATAAATTCAGCTTAATGAACATTCTCCCCATTGGAACACTAAATGTAATAAAAATTTTTGATTTATTGTTTTCATAATCCATTATACCAAAAGTTAACAAAATAAATAATTAAGGTAATATATCAATTAAAAAGAATTGACAGAAATAGAAAATTTAAGAGACATCAAATTTTAAATAAAATCATTAAGAACAATATAATCAAAACGATTAACGAAAAAATAGTTTGTGTAATTACATCTCAAATAAAGCCATCAGAAAGAGATTAATGAAAAGATGGATGATCATAAAAAAAAAAAAAAGAAGGAACGTTAGTAGCGTTCCCAAATTAAACAAAAAATGAAACAGGATGAAAAGGAAATAAAACACATCTTGTAATTTTAAATTCTTGGTCGATTTTCTCATTTGGCCATTCCTAAAAAAAAAGAAAGAGAAGGAAACGTTAGTGACGTCCCAAATCAATAAAAAATGAAGGCATTTATATTAAAAAGAAATGAAAAAAATTAAAACGCCACCTACTTGTAAACCAGAATACAGGTCAATTTTTAGAGTCATTCAGCCATTCCTAAAAAAAATAGAAAGAGAAGTGACGTTCTCAAGTCAAGAAAAAACAAAAAAATGAAAAAGAAACAAAATGTCACTTACCTCGCAAACTAAAAATACAGGTTGATTTTTGTCTATTTCAAAAAATAGGAAAAGAAAAAGAAATGTTAATAATGTTTCAATCAAAGAGGAAAACAAAAAAGAGCAGAAAAAGAAGTGAAATGGCATTTACCTTACAACATTAAAGTTTCTAAATAAATAAATACATTCATTATAATGTAATTAAAATGATGCCAATCACGAGATGTACCAAATGAAATACTCAGTGAATATCACCTCTAGTGAATTTTTTTTTAAATTAACCTCCAAATTTAATATTATGAATTAAATTGCTTATTTTCCTCCAATTTTGTAGTTCAAATTCTTTTTTTGAGAATTTCAATTCTCTTTCTTCCACTAACAGTTCACGTTCTTTTAATTCAATCATTTTTTCTTAATAATCAAGATTAATTTAATACAAGAAGTTTCTTTTGTATCTATATTATTACTTCTTGTATTACAAGCAATTTTACTTTTTTTACGCTTGAACTGAACTTATTGACGTTGATTTTCTTTTAACAATGCATCTAGATAATTATTAATATTATTAATTAATTAATTAATTAATTTAAATTATACAAATAGGACAAATTCTAAAATAAATTTTAATACATTTATTCGTTTAATTTTCTATTAACAGCACTTATATTACTTGATGCCAAAGGAATTGTAAATTTATTATGAACTTGAATTCTTCCATAAAGTGTTAGATCAAAATTTCATGACCTAATAATTATAAAATTACGAATTAATAATAATAATAATTAAAATTTTTAAATAAAAATAAATATATATTACTGACATTGGTTTTTAGTTTTAAATTAGTTTCTTTTTGTTAACATTCGCGTGCGCAACTTCTGTGATATTAGTGTTAGATGGAGTTGTATTCCATATACCAGGAGAAATATTTGAGCAATGTTGATTTAGAGAGAAGAAATAACTCATGAAGGTATTCCATTTCTTTTTTAAAAATCAGAAAGTAAAAAAATTTTTTGCTTACTCATGCAAATGTAATATACCTAATTTGAATGATTAACATACTCTTATCGAATTTGATTTTGTAACACCATAAACAAAATCTGCAATAAAACTTGATTGGTTAGTCTCCCAACAAAATTCTGCACTCATGTGATCATAAAAATTATTCGTCACTCTACATTACACCCTCTAAGTTTTCCATTTATATAAATATTCTGGGGACGAATTTTTTGTATACTAATCTTATTTGTTACGCATATCCATCACACCCATAATTTTACACTTAATGCCATTACTGGATAGAACATGTTTACTGCGCCTTTTGACTTTTTGATTTGATTGATTAATTTGAAAAAGTAGACAATTAAAAAAATAGTACTTATTGTTTATTGAATGAAAGTTATATTTGAATAGATTTGACAATTTTGTCCAGAATTGTAGCCAGAATTACCTTAATTTGAATTTATTTGTAATAGGCATTTGTTAGTTGATTTGAAAGTAGACAATTTTGTCTAATTGATTGCAGAATTTGATTGGACAATTTGTTTGGCCAGAATTAGCTTAATAGTTGCCATAATTTTTTGGCTATAATTACTTAATTTTTTTTTATTTTTGATTTAATATTAGATAGTATGCTAGTTTATAGGTAAATCTGCAGTCAGAAATTACAAAATTACCTTATTTGGGTTGTGGGTTGCCTAAAGCAGGCAGATTTAGCTGGAATTCCTTGTATTAGGACAAATCTAATAATATAAATTTTATTAGTAACTGAAATCTCTTAAAAATAGGGTATGTAAGATAAGGATTTAAACCCCCTGTAATATGTAATTCTGGACGTTAGATTTTTAATAGCTGTAATGCTGACTGCATATATGTGATCAGTGTAAAAATTTCCTTTTTTAAATATTGTGAAACCTAAATCACGTTATTTTTGCAAGAACCAAAAAATTTTCCTTTTTTGGATTTAAAGTAACTTCACGTGATAAAGTGCTTAATGGTATGTAGGTAAACAGTTTTTGCAATAAATAGAACGATTTGGCCAGAATTACATTTAATTCTGGCCGGTGGTCAAACTACGTAATTTATAAGCTGAAAGTTTCTGCACAAAATTTCAGCTAAGAAACTGCCCATGGGATAAATGCCCATGAAATTTGATTGGTTGAATTTAAATGATAAAGTTTATAAGCTGAAAATTTGTGCAGAAAATCTCAGCTAAGAAACTGCCCATGGGCGAAATCTGCCATGGAATTTGATTGGTTCATATAAAACGGACAATTTTGTCCATGATTTAATAAAATTTGATTGGTTCATATAAAACGGACAATTTTGTCCATGATTTAATAAAATTTGATTGGTTCATATAAAACGGACAATTTTGTCCATGATTTGATAAAATTTGATTGGCTCATATAAAATGAACAATTTTGTCTATGATTTGATGAAATTTGATTGGCTCATATAAAACGGACAATTTTGTCCATGATTTGATGAAATTTGATTGGCTCATATAAAACGGACAATTTTGTCCATGATTTGATGAAATTTGATTGGCTCATATAAAACGGACAATTTTGTCCATGATTTGATGAAATTTGATTGGCTCATATAAAACGGACAATTTTGTCCATGATTTGATGAAATTTGATTGGCTCATATAAAACGGACAATTTTGTCCATGATTTGATGAAATTTGATTGGCTCATATAAAACGGACAATTTTGTCCATGATTTGATGAAATTTGATTGGCTCATATAAAACGGACAATTTTGTCCATGATTTGATGAAATTTGATTGGCTCATATAAAACGGACAATTTTGTCCATGATTTGATGAAATTTGATTGGCTCATATAAAACGGACAATTTTGTCCATGATTTGATGAAATTTGATTGGCTCATTTAAAGCGGACAATTTTGTCTATTAGGTAAATGATTTGATGAAATTTGATTGGTTCATTTGAAATGGACAATTTTGTCCAGCCAAAATAACTTAATTCTGGCCGGTTACCTTAATTTTGGCCAGAAATTACTGCGCATTTGGTAAAGGAATTGATGGAATTTAATTGGACGAATTATTATACAGAAACTGGTCGACCAGAATTAGCTTAATTCTGGCTATAATGATTTCAACTTCAGTCAGAATTACTGTGTAACCTTAATTTTTTTTTGACTTTTTTTGGTTATTAGGTAGTACAAAATTTATATCAATGCAATCCTCACATGCTGGTTTATAGGCAAATCTGCATTCAGTTACCTTATTTGGCCGATATATACCAATTAAGTATTAGCCAATCAAATCCCATGGGCAAATCTGCCCATGGGCAGTTTCTTAGCTGAGGTTTTGTGCACGAAGTTTCAGCTTATAAACTATGTCGATCATTTGGATTGGGTGGTGGTAGGATAATAGGGATCATTATCAAAACTTGAGAGATATGATTGTCAAAAGTGACTGGAATGTCTTGTGCATCATTTATATATGATGAAATGTTGAGAGTAATATCAAGTTGAGGAATAAATAAAATATTGCCCTATAAAATGAAATGTGTTAAATTTGTTTTATATTTGTGTTCATGTATAATAAATGTATAAAAAAGCACCATTTTATCCAATTTATGTCTTATTACAAAAAAACAAAAATTAATTAAACAAAATGGTGCTTTTTTAGACATTTATTATACATGAGCACGAATTTAAAACAAATTTAGCACATTTCATTTTTATAAGGTTGGTGAATAAAATTGAATTAATTATTGAATCTTCAAAATTTTGATTTTGTATAGTTGAAATATTCTAAATAATAGAATTTAAAAAGAAAAAAGAAGTGCAGGAATAAGAAATTTTTCAAAAAAATTTTTTCTAATTTTTGACCATTTTATATTAATACTTTTCGTGGTTTTTATGAAACACTATACTTGGTAGAACAAAAAGAGATAATAAAAAAAGAAAATCATCAAAAGCTCTTTTAATTTTAACAGAAGGTAATTTTTTTCTAATTTTATTGAATTTACTTTTAAGTTGTTTTTTCCATCCTTGCTTTTTTGCACCATTTTGTTGTATTTCTATATCTCCTTGTTTTCTTACATCTTCTGATTTTTCAGCACCATTTTGTTGTATTTTTACGTAATCTTATTTTCAATAAGGACTGATGAAAAGAAATAATGCTTAGAGTTAGTGTACAGTGAAACAAAACAAATAAGTTGTTTAAAACTTTGTTGTTTTACTGCAAAGATTACCAAGAAGGCAAGATTGTAAAATTGGAAATAAGCTTTAGAATTGTGGACTCAGCACCACAGGTCAAAATATGAAAAATTGGTTACCTATTAGTGACCTAAAAGCCATTGTATTTTGTCTTTTATAAACAGTTGGTTTTGATATGAAGTTCATTAAAACCTTTGTTTAACTAGAGTGGCAGTTCCAGTATTGATATTATGAGTGATTACCAATGTTCGTCTGATTGGTTTGGAATTTATTGAAAGTTTAAACTGCAATAAAAGCTAGCATCTCTTGCAATATTAATATTCTGCATACAATTTGGTCTACTTACTTTCAAGCGAACTTGTCTGATAAATTTAATGCATTGTTTAATCAAGATAATTTGCATGTATAATAATATCATGAAACTTGTTTACGTTTATAAATTTTTATAAATAATAATTTATATGAAAATCTTGATTATATGATTCTCTAGTCACGTTTAGGGATGGTAACGGTCGGTTACAGTTGGTTATTGGTCGGTCATAACCGGTTAAGGGTCTTTGACTGACTGACTGACTGTTTTTCTGACTGTTTAACCAACTGTTTAACCAACCATTTAACTAATCACTTTTTTCTTTTTAACGAATTTTAATCAAGAAAAAACATTAAAAAGTGTAATTTAATTAAAAAAAATGTTATTTAACTTTTTTTATTGATTAAATTCATAAAAAAAGTGTTAAGTGAATAAATATGGCTAAATAATCAGTTAAACGGTCGGTTAAATGGTCAGTCAAAATGGTCGGTCAAACCAGTCAGTTAAATGGTTGGTCAAAAGCCTTTGACTGACTGATATCGGTTATGGTTATAACCAGTCATGACTGGTTAATAATTATGACTGTTGCCATCTCTAGTCATGTTCATATTGCCAATTATTATAATGCAATAACTTACCTTGATGTTCATCTAAATTGGATTAGATACAATTAAACTTTTTAATATAGTAATATGTCAAGATTTTCTCAAAAAATATTGTTATCATAGCTCAACTTACTGCTAATTCTAAAAGCAGTATTGACTTCTTCTGATATTGCATTTGGAAATAATTCTTTATATTTTGCAAATTTTATATAACTCATGTTATTTATGAGAAGAATATGAATAATAAAACAAAAGTAATTTTCTGAAAGTTTATATATGGTTTACATAATTTAAAATAACTTTTTAATCAGTTTAATCAGTTTAATCAGCTATGCCAAAGTATGAGGTTCACATTGAAAATGCAACTTTGTTTTTATTATTCCATTTCCTGTAATAAACCCATCAGTCCATATTGCTTTATACACTTTACCAAACCACCTTTGTAATATATAAAATATTATCAAATTTATTGTAAGGTATTTACAATCTGGAGTTTGATTTTGAATGAATTTATTAATAACATCATTACTACTAGCACAATTTCCAAATTCTTGTCACTAAAAATTTGAGATACATGGAACACAATATATTTTCGTATCATTTCCGGCATTTATTTTACATTCTTTGCACAAAACCAAGTTATCAAGAAAAATAGTAAACCTTTTTATTTTATTATGAAATTAGATGAATATAAATTGTGATATGATTAGATCTTTGTGTAATATTAATGCATGGAAGTGTTTGGAAATGTGTTAAAATAGAAGTCCATTGCGTTCTAACTTGTTGATGTGATTATGTTACATTCTTTAATATAAATGTCAAATCAAAATGTCTATATGGCAAGTTCATATCATTCAAAAAAAATGGATTCTTGCATATTTAACAGAAAATTCCCATATTACTTCTACTTCTGACCATGAAAATGATCTTTGATATACATGATAACCAACAAATTGATCACTGAAAAGATTATTGATTTGAAATGTTTAAGATTTTGCAGTGTACAAACAAAAAAATATAGAATTGTTGAAAGGTATTTGCTTATTTAATTATGATCAATTATGATATCTTTTGCTAGGACAAATAAGACAATAAAAAATTAAAACACCATACTACAACAATGTTACATTAACTCAAATCATCTTATTAAGGTAATGTTTTTAGCATCAATAGTCAATTGGAAATCACAACATATATATGCTTATTTTGATTAATTATATAGTTATTTTCTCCAAATATGGAATGATATAATTTTTGATTAAAATTATATCAATGACAGTTTTATCAGTTTTGAAAAAAAATATAATACTAAAAGTATTGTATTATTTATTTAATAAAAAACATTATTACTCATTATAATAACTTTAATATGAATCAAGCTGCTTATATATTAAGTGTAAATCCAATAAATTAACATTTATAAAACTTAACAAGTATAGTATATAGACTATAGTGTCATTTCTTTGATGAAATACTAAATATCTGTGCATAATAGTAAAACAAATTATTTGATAATATTTTAAATTTTTACTAATAAATTTACCATACTAATTAATTTTTGAAGCATCTATAATATTTTATCATAATAAACCACTAGTTAAACAATATTTTACTAAAAAAAACTAATTATTATAATATAGTGAAAATGACATTATTATTGCAATTCTGAGAAAATATACTATAAATAATATGATTTAAGTGCATATTTAAATATAACTATAAAAAATCTTAAACCTTATTATATGAATAATTGTATACTTTTTCTTCCACAGATTTTCATAAAATACGATGAAAACCAATTACCAAAATAACAAATCCACTTAATTTATTGGGATTGGATTTTATTATTTTAATCCATTTGTCAAATATTCCTGAACTAAAATAATCACTTGTTTTACCTTTGAAATAATATTCATATATGATTTTAATTGATTAACTCCACTGTCTAATATTTCTCCTATAGTTGTTTGTTTAGTTTCCTTATATTCTTTTGACCAATATGCATATGATCTTCCTAGTAAAACTTTTTCATCTTCTTTTTCAATAATTTTATCCAATTTTTCTAGAACATTTGTATTAAACTTATCTTTTTGATTTTTTATTAAATTAACTAATGAAATGTATTTTAATTCTAAGCTAACATAATTATCTCATATTCCTTTTAGAACAAAAATATCAGAATATCCAAAATGACCAAATCCTTTTAATTTTGTACCATCCATTACAAGTGAAAGTTCAGGAATACTATATTCTAATGGTAAAAGGCTTTCAACAATTGCCTGCATTTGCAGAAGATAATGACATTTTTGATCTTGCTGATAGGAATGTTTTTAAAATTTCAATAAAAGGTAACAAATTACCTGCAACAAGATTTTCATATGCTGAAGCAATAAGAAAAGCATTATTTACAACTTGGTTATATACTAATTTATCTTTGTTTTGTTCTAAAATTCGAATTTGTTTTGTTACAGGTTCTAATAAATAATTATATATAAAGAGTTAATAATACAAATGCAGAATAAGTAATTAAAATATTATAACTTACCAGAAGATAAATTAGCATCACTAATATCTCATACTCTTTTTAATTTTTCCTTTTGTTCAGCATAAGAAATTATTTTTTTAGTCCATATTTTGTTAAAAACTGATTCTAATTCTTTTCCCAAATAATATATATCACTTTCTATATTATTATATGCATAACAATTGCAAAATATAAGACGAATATCTTTTTCAAATTCTTTTATACTTGTATATTGATTATTTTCTAATTTTGAATTTATAGTAAATAAATCTATTGGATTTTTTATAGCTGTTTCTTTTTCATCATATTTATAAAATGGATGAATATTATACTTGCCATCAAGTTCTTGAAGAATATCACAACAAAAGTCAATAATATTGTTTTTCTTAGTAATCTTGTAATAATCATCTTTAACTGAAATGGAATGATCATTTGTAGGAGTTTCAATTACATTTTCTGAATGAGATGCATTTTTCTTAGTAATTTTGCAATAATCATCTTTAACTGAAATAGAATGATCATTTGTAGGAATTTCAATTACATTTTCTGAATGAGATGCAAGAGCAGATACTAGATTTTTTTTTCTTTTTATACTCCTTAATAATTCCTTTCCAGAATATTTGCAATATTTTTGCATAACATAAACGTTCTGTTGCTATCTGTTATAAGAAAGAAAACATTAGTAGTGCATTATGATTTTATTTAGTAATAAAAGAAAGTACATAGCCAATTCCTCCTCCAGAATTAGCAGACTTTTATTAACTACAAAGTCAGGACACCTGAACTGAGAGCTTGGAGTGGTTACCAAGGTTGTCAAATCCAGTAATTCCCCTAAGTCAAGCATATGATCGATTTAGGGGTTATTCTTCCATTGCAAAATAAAAAACGCACCTTATCCTTTAAGTCAGGAAAATCTTTTCCTTCACACAAAAAACAGCCAGCCCAAAGATTATCAAGATTATTCCAATTATCTGAGAAAGTTGATGAAGAATTAGTAATTGAAGCAACAATGATATTACAGTAACTTTTTAAGAATCTACAATATGATATTATTTTATTTTTTGTTATATAAGAGATAAGAGCTAGAAAGATGAGGAATTAGTTAGCTATTAAAATTTATCAGATTATTATTATTAGATTTTAATAGACTTACCATCTTGACCAGAATAGCCTTCAGATATACTTATATTAATATTTTTCTGAATATAAATTGGATATATACCTTCTCGTGACAAGTAATTTCTCAAACATTAACCATTTCTAAACTATTTTAACAATTATCTATTTTAATAAGGAAAATCTTGATTTTTCTAAGTTTACATTGTAAATTAACTATTTATGAACAATAATTTATATTAATGGTATTAGAGGATTAATATTTTTCTGAATATAAATTTGATATTTAAATAAATTGGATATATTATTGAAAAAATAAATTGGATTTTTAAATAAATTGGATATATTATTGAAAAATTGAATTATTGAAAAATTTATTGGTAACTGTAAAAATTATTGTATAGGAAGGGTCTTAAATAAAAAAAAATTTTCTTGCAAATAGTGACACATTAAGTGAAAAATTTAACAATAATTTTTATTATATTGATAATACTGACAAAACCTGAGTCATTTTGCCAAATATAGTAAATAGTTTAATTGTCAATTTGACCCATTTGGAATAATGTATTAAAAAGATAAAACATGTTGATAAAGTATAAATAGTATCATAATTACTATCAGTATTGTAATTATTATATACTAGTGTTATAATTATTACTAATTATACAAATATGTACTATAGTACTGACCCATTTGGAATAATGTATTAAAAAGATAAAACATGTTGACAAAGTATAAAATAATATGATGTTTAACAAAGTATGTAATAATGAGTTGTAGAGTTGTAATCCTTTGCTGTAATTACAACACAGTATTGTAATTATTATATAGTATCATAATTACTATCAGTATTCTAATTATAATTATTACTAATTATACAAATATGTACTATAGTATTTCTTTTTTTTATTAATACCAAAAAAGGAAATTTTCTGAAAATCATTATGTAATAGGTTGCAACCTTTACTATTACAATACAAGGCAATAATCTAGTAGTATATCATCCTAGATATACTAATTGGTCCACCAGTTTATAACTGGCGAAAAAAATCCCAAATACCAATTAGTAGCCACCTCAGGTGATAAGAGGAATTATGAACTTAACAACATTTTTATACAGCAGAGGTTGTAAATATTCCAGATAATCTTAGAAATGATATTTATTTTGATTGTTTGCAATTCTCTTTAATCCTTTTTATAAACTAGTAAAACTACCAAAGGTGCAAGTAAAGAGAAATAAACTTATATTACAACAAATAATAGTATATAACCATCTGTATTTATCTTGATTAAATTTTTTGCTACCAATATATGACATCACTTGCATACTATAATAATTTTGACTTTACAAGTAATATGGAGAATTGAAAATAAACCATCACTTATGTATTACTATAGGATCCCAAAATATACATAAAAGAGTCAGTTTAGAGTTTGAGTATAATGAGTTAAAAGATCATGTAGATCATTCCTTTTATGGATAATCCCAGCCAAAATAATATTTCCTAATTTAGATAATGGCTAAAATTATCGTAATTCTGGCCCTAAAAGAATGTGTATTTTAGACCACTTCTGGACCTAACCTCTACATATATATTTCAGAGTCCTATTACTTAGTGCTTTGATCCGGATGAAATCCATCATCCGGATTACACAAAAAAAATCCGGATTATATCCGGTTTGATCCAGATTGAAATTCGAGTCAGAAATCTGGGTGAAATCCAGAATCTGGATCAGATTTCATATATAAAATTTTTTAGATTGCATATGACGATCCATATTAGAGATAATGGTACTTATTAATACAATTTGGTAGGTTTTTTTAAATTTTGTAGCCTTTTTTCCGATTTGATTATTGAATTTGAATTAGCTTATTTTATCGTAATTCGGGCCGGCACTATTAATTTGGCCTGAGTTACAAATTTTATTCAAATTTTGATAAAATCAGGCTTAAAAAACAATATCGCTTCTTAAATTATGATTTTACTTAATAAGATTAATAAAAATGTAAAAATAATTTTCACTTTAATTATATTAAATAAATTAATAATAAATAAATAATTTTTTACTAATCATCAATTTATCGTTGTTCATGACAAAATTTATATATTACAAAATTATTTATCAGTTGTGAAACTAATAGACTATTTATTTATTACAAAATCTATAAAAAATATTAGAAAAATTTTTTTTTTTCTATCCGGATTCCGGATGAATCCGGATATTTTTCATCCAGATCAAAATCTGGATCAAAACTGGATATCCGGATGAAAAAAAATCCAGATTCATCCGGATTCATCCGGATGGACTAGAAACGGATCGAAGCACTACTATTACTATGATATTATGGTTTTACTTTTTTGTATTCTTATCTTATCCCAATTTATCCATGTGATCTCTTGATATCAGCAGGAGTTTATATATCATCATCAGAACTGAAACCTGAAAATTTTCAGGATTTTTATCAACTTTTGATCATTATCAATTAGCATAATAAATAACAATCTCAGATGGAATTACACTTCAGGACCTCTATTCCATAATAACTAATTATGTACCAACTATTTTTTGGCAAAGTTTCTATTTATTAACAAACTGTGGACATAAATTAATGGAATATATTTAATGCTTAGCATGGCAAACATTTAACCAAAATAAAATCAGTAGAACTGTACAATAGTGCATTGTTTTTTGTATTTCCTGTACACAAAAAATAACTGTAGGTTGCTAAAAAGCACTTTTGACTATATATCAAATTTTTTATTACTTTTATTTTGAATATTTCTAAAAAAATACTATAAAAATTATAAGAAAACAATGCTTAAACTTAATGTTTCAACCCGTTTACCCATAATCTATATCTGTGGACAGATATTCACCATTTACGGTTAAGACATTTCAGCATTTTATATATATAAAAAAATGCCAAACTGACCTGAATCTGACGTTTTTTCATTAAAAATAATTACAAAAACGTCTTTTTTTATTAAAAACGTCGGGTTCAATTAAAGAAACAAAAAAAAAATGTTTTTTTATTAAAAAATGTCAAACCTGTCCGGATAGGATTTTTAAATGGTTGTGGATGATAAATAGATATGGATGAGAGGATTGAGGATATCCGTAATAGATCATTCAGATTATCTGTATCACTAATGGATTATCCTTGATCCTTTGGTTCTTTGACCAGAGACAATAGTTAGGTTAACTTTTTTTATTTCGTATTTTGTTACTTTTTTTTATTTTTTCACTAATTTTGTTTTTCTTCTTTAGATCCTTAAGTTCTTTGGCCACTTAAACTTTGGAAATATCTCCATATATTTAGATTATTGAAGAGTATCCAGATAGATCCATTAGGATATCCAGATAATCTTCAATCTGTCACTATGGATTATCCGGATTGTATTTGATTAGACGAATCAGTTTAACAGATGACAGATATTAAATGGATTGGATTGATGGATAATGGATTATCTGTGGGTTGAAATACTTGTATATAAGAAATAGTATTTAATTGAGGAATATTCATAACTGATATTACAATTTCTTTTTCTAAGCTCTTTTATAAAATTTATTTTCAAAATTTTTATTAAGCAATTATAATAATGAAATTTTATTTATTAATTAATTTGACCAAATTAAAACAATATGGATTTAGAAGTTAGATATTTTTTTAATAAGCTTGTAATTAAATATAAAATAAAAAATTGCTAATCTACTTTTAATTAATTTTAAAAATTATTTAATAAGACATATTAGGGCAATGAAAAAGGGCAATTGTATATTATAGCAAATTTATTATCAGGAAATCTGTATATAAGAAATCTGTTAGTATAGATGGTGATGATGTATGTGGTATTGATCATTGTAAGCCTATATATTTAAATGTCCAAAGAGTAAAAAATCTTTGTCACTTTGTGAATAAGTTTGTTATTAGTTTATAATTATAAAACTTACAGGCCTAATTCTTCAACTATTATAATTAACTTGATTAAGATTATGATGATTCTTCTTCTTTTTAGAAGAATCATCATTCAAGGAAATGCTATTTGCAGTATTTTTTTAAGTATCCTCACTAAGGCCTCCATTTTGGCTTTAATCAATATCAATCCTCATACAAATCACTTCTGAGATCAGACTGTATTTCTGATCCATTATCAGAAATTAAATCATTATGTTAGAAAATCTGGCAAGTTCTACCTTCATTATAATATTAATTTTTTCATTTACTTAAGAGAATAAACAAAGAAAAAGATCTCTTTCAATTTTTATGATATAAGTTTTTGTTTCTGTAAATATAATAGAAATTGATTGACAAACAAAATACACACAAAAAAATCTTTAAGAATTCTAGAAAAATGAAAAAATTTTTTAAAATTATAAATCAGATTGTTTACCTTCTCACACTCCCAGATTATTTCCTTCCAGTAATTCTTCAAACCATCATTATGTCATTCTATTTTAACCTAATAAAAGGAAGTTAATATTAGCAGTATGTGCTATCTTATTTAGCGATAAAGAAGGTAAATAACCAATTTTTCATCTAAGATTAGTAAACCTTTATCAATGGTAATGTGAAGATGCCAGTACAATTCAAACTGGGATAATTACCAACAACCCAGCACAGTAATTCTCCTGGACAATGACATACTTTATTCAATTAAGAGTTACCCTCTCTTTGCATAATAAAAAATGGCCCTTATGTTCTAATGTATCAAAGGTGTTTTTATTTAACAACCTCTTAGCCTCTAATAAGAAGAACTGGATCAGGTATTGTTAAGATCTCTCCAAGATATTATTGAAATATGTAATAAATATTTGATGATTTTTTTCTGTAATAATGAAGTAGAAAACTGTAATATGGCTTAATTTTCTTTTCCCTTAAGTAAGAAATGAGTTGACTATATCTATTGGAAAGTTCTTGAGACATCTTTTGACTAGTTAAGAGATAAAAAGATATGAAAGTAATTAACAAGAAAAAATTTACTTTTTATTACTTAAATACTTTTTATTTTGCCCATAAGCTAATAAAACTAATATGCACAGTTTTAATGATTAAATTGTATTCCAACACATAATTTTGTTGCTTGATCAAAAGCAGTATCAGGTATATTAAGTGATTCAAGCAGACTTTTTTTAGATATTTCATAGTAAGAAGGAGGTAATAAAATAGATATTTCAGGTTAATTCATATTATAAAAATAAAGATGGTAAAAAGGAAGAAGGAAAATGTAAAAAATAAAGGAAAGTATCATAAAGTATAAATCATGTAAATAAAAGATCTTTTATAATAATGATGATCATTAACAAAATCATATGTACACAGTGCCATATGACATGACAAGTGATATTTAGTTAAAATTAAATAAAATAAAAACTTTATTAAAAAAAATGCATTGCTTGGTTTATTATTACATAAAAATATTAAGACACAAATTATTGGGTTATAAAATATAATATTTATTGGGTTAAAATTATTACATCATAAAAATAATTCTCAAAAATAAAGAATAT